AACGTCACCGACTAACTGCCCTGAGTAACTCAAAGAAGGTTTCAAAAGTACTTAACTGTTTCTCAAAGTTGTTTTTTGGTTATGTTAAGAGATGCAATCACCAACTGCCCTGAACTGGTCCAAACCCCACCGCAACAGCGAGGCATATGCAGACAGGCCAAGAAGTGTCCAAAAGTTACCTTTGTTTCATTTCGATGTTAAGGTCTCTGCCCCGGGAGGAGCTTAAGCCTTGTTAGTATAACATATAATGTATGTGAAAGCATGTTTTCAAACTACACCTGCGTGAGCTTATACCCAGCTCTACACATGATGACAAAACTTTTCTTTTGAATGTTCATTCCCCATCCAACATAAAGGCCCCTGCTTTCCCTTCCTTGAGGAGCCATGGCTTTGGAAGTGATTCCCCATGGTCTCCTTTATTTGCTGCAAATAAATTTTACTTTGTATGACAACTACTTCTGGTGACGGCTTTGATTTCAACTCACCAAGAAGCAAACCCACTTTGGTTTGGTAACAATGTAGCAAGTTATAAAATTAACATACAAAAATCAGTAGCCTTCATATACACAAAACTCTTAGTTAGAAAATTTGTAAATGAGAAGACTTCATTTACAATAGCAACAAAAAAGAGAAAACTCCAAGAAATAATTTATCAAGAAATGTGAAAAAAATTTTATGAGGAAAACTTTAAAACACCTCTGAAAGAAAAAAGTGCACTTGAATAAATGAAAAGACATTTATTCTTAGAAGACTCAGTGTCATAAAGTTGTCAATTATCCCTAAGTTAATTTATAATGTTAGCATGATACCAATATAAGTAAGGTTTTTTCTGCAGCTGTATTTATTGATTCTAAAGCTCGTGGAAAAATAAAAAAGCAGATATAATAACAATAATAAAAAAACTCTGAAAAAGAGCAAATAAATTTTTCTACCATTTATAAAAACATACATAAAGCCTTTCTAATTAAAACAGTGTGATATTGGCGTATGAATAGATAGACAGACAAATGGAACAGAATTGAAAGTCCAGATATGGTCCAAGAATATGTGAAAATTTAGTGTATGATATAAGTGGCATCCTATATCAATGGGGAAAGACAGCCTTTTTAAAAATATATTTTTTTCATTACTGGATAACTTTTTGGAAAAAGGTTAAATTTAAATCCGTGACTTCCACCACATACCAGGTTAAACTCCAAATGGATTAGAGATTTACATATTAAAGAAGCAGAAGGAGAAGAAGAGGAAGAGGAGAAGGAAGAGGAGGTGGAGGAGGGGAAGGAGGAGGGGGGGAGGAGGAAGAAGAAGAAGCCAAAAAAGTGTGAATTCACTTTTAACCTGGGAATGGAAATATTTCTTTTTTCTTTTTCTTTTTTTTTTTTGGTATTTCTTTTTTTTCTTTTCATTGCAGTAACATTGGTTTATAACATTGTATAAATTTCAGGTGTACATCATTATACTTCTATTTCTGCATAGATTGCATCATGTTCTCACGTTCACCACCCAAATACTAATTACAATCCATCATCACACACATGTGCCTAATTATCCCTTTTGCCCTCCTCCCACCCTCTTCCCCTCTGGCAACCATCAATCTAATCTCTGTCTCTATGTGTTTGTTTGTTGTTGTTTTTATCTACTACTTGTGAGTGAGATCATACGGTATTTGACCTTGGAGAAGTATTTCTAATGATGTCTCAAAATCCAAAATCCGTAACCTATACCCCAAGAGAAAAACATCCAAATACAATTATAGACAGTTCATTAAAACAAAATGCAAATGGATTTTAAACATGTGAAAATTTCAACTGCACTAATGATAAAAGAAGGGCACATTAAAACTACACTGAGTTTGGGCCAGCCTGGTGGCGTAGTGGTTAAGTTTGCGTGCTGTGCTTCAGTGGCCTGAGGTTCGCTGGTTTGGATTCCAGGCATGGACCTACACGCTGCTCATCAAGCCATGCTGTGGTGGTGTCCCACATACAAAATAGAGGAAGATTGGCACAGATGTTAGCTCAGAGACAATCTTCCTCACCAAAAAACCCCCCCCCAAAACCCACAAAACTATACTGAGTTTCCTCTTCTGGCTACGATGCAGTTACTGGGACCAGACTGACTTACTGAACTCATAAAAAACTATAAAACTAGACAGAATATATTAAAAAATGTTTTCAGGCCTTGGACAACAGGCAGTGCAGACCCATGATTCCCTGAGCAAAAGGAAATAAGTGAGGTGAGGCCTATGATTGCTCTGGCCTTCTAACTGGAGGCACTTTCTAGACCACAGTGCAAAGGAGGAAGAACCCAAACAGACCATAGCAGGCTCTCGGAGTTGAGGAGACAGAGACTTGAATTCAAGGAGGCAGAGGTAGCTGGGACTTGGGTAGAGAATCCTAGAGAGCCAAAAGCTACATAGAGAAAGAGCTCTGGAGATCTCCATAAGGGGTCCTCTTGAGTCTGTTCCTGGCAGCCTCAATGCCAGCCAAAGAATGAGCAGGAAGCTATAACCTGAATAATTCTCAGAGCTCACCCAGAGCTGGGATAGAGCTCTATCCCACTCTCTATCATGGAGCTAGAGATACATAGAGAGTCCTCACTGAACACCTGAGACATTTTGTAGAGATCCTAGAAGGATAATGCTAGTAGTTTAGTAAAATGCTGATACTAATAATTTAGTAAGAGTACTAAATGAGCCCTAGAATACTTCAAGATCTGCTCAAGCTTTCAAGCCAAGATTATACTCTTTTTGGGGTGACTCACCCTTACAAATCTTAAAAACAAGCCTTAAAAGAATTAAGCTGATCTGAAAGTAGTCTGAACTGTCTGCCAGGAAAATTTAAAAAACAGCAAAACAGTGTTTTTTTTTTTTATTGTGGTAAAATATACATAACATAAAATTTACCTTTTTAATCATTTTTAAGTGTACAGATATGTGGCATTAAGTACATTCACGTTGTTGTGCAACCATTGCCACCATCCATCTCCAGAACTTTTTTCATCTTCCCAAACTGAAACTCTGCACCCATTAAACACTAACTCTCCATTTCCCCCTCCCCTCACCCCCTGGCAGCCACCCTTCTACTTTCTGTTTCTTTGAATGTGATTACTCTAAGTACCTCATATAACTGGAATCATAAAAAATATTTGTCTTTTTATGTCTGGCCTATTTCACTTAGCGTAATGTCCTTGAGGTTCATCTATGTTGTAGCATTTGTCAGAATTTCCTTCCTATTTAAGGTTGAATAATATTCCATTGTATGGATATACCACAATTTGTTTATCCATTCATCTGTCCAGGACACTTGGGTTATGTCCACCTTTTGGCTATTGTGAATAATGCTATTATGAACATGGGTGTACAAATATCTGTTTGAGTCACTGCTTTTAATTCTTTGGGGTATTTACATAGAAGTGGAATTTCTGGATCATGTGGTTCTAATGCTTTTTAAAGGAAGACAACAAATTCTAACACTCAATGTAAAATTTATAATGTTTAGCATCCAATAAAAAATTAATAGATAAAGAAAAAGGAAAATGTAATCTAAAACCAGGAAAATAATCAGTCAATAGAAACAGATCCAGAAATGACAGAAATTATGGAATTAGGAGACAAAGACTTTAAAATAACTATTATGAATATGTTCAAAGATTTAAAAGAAAGCATAAACATAATGAACAGAAAAGTACAAGGTAATAGAAATAAATGGAATTTCTATACATAAAAACAACAGCAGCAATATTGAAAGGATCAGTGAGCTTAAAGAGTGCTTATTATTGATCTCCCCATAATGGTCTTATCTCATAAGCACTGGGAGACTGGAAAATTCCTCTCTTCTTTTTCCAATGTTTTAGCATAACTCTTTAGCCTCCTGCTCCATGTAGCTTCGATATCAGTAGACAGGGAAACTATCCCTGAGTTTGAGGCCCCCAAGTCTCCAATGTTGTCACTTTTAGCACAGCATAATTGTCAAAAGCTCAACTGATTTTTCTGTCTGAGATCAGTGGCCTTGTGCCTGGACCAAGTTCTAAATACTCTGAGTAACATTTAAATGTGTAATATTTGAAACTTAAGAGTGCCTGGCACATTGTAGACACTCAAATATTAAGTGAATGAATGAATTTCATTGTTTTTCCTGATTTTCTTAAGTGTCTTTTGGAAGTTCAGCTGCTACAACACTGAGTCAATGAATATCTGTATTCATCTAAAGATGTTTGGAAAACTGAAGGTTTTCTTCCTAATACTTCAGGAACATTTACTGTGTGCCAGGCATTGTTCTAAGCACTTTACATATATTAACTCATTTAATACTCATAACAACCCTATGAAATTCATAGTATTAATCTCCTCATTTTCCATGCACGGAAACTAAGGCACAAAGGAGTTAAGCAATTTGTCCCAGGTCAAACAACTATTATGATACTGGTAAAATGCTATATATCTATAGTGGTTTTGATCCATGGGAATCAAGACTTAAAGGGAGATTTCATAGAATACCTCAAAAAGATTTTTCTTTTTAAAAAAATCTGTATTCTCTCTTACTGTTTTTCTTTACTAAATATATGGAATCCTATCAAAGATTTTAATTAGTTCTACTATCAATTACAACTAATTGCCACTGTGAAATAGTCCTATGTTGCTTTGTATAAATAACAGAATTCATGTAACAGAAAATTAAGTAATTTCAAATAATATAATTTCAGATAAATACCTATTTTTCATATTTTTGTGTTAAAGTAATAACACATATTTATATTTTGATTCATTATATTCAACATATGTTTTTTGTCTGGTACAGCTGTGTCCAGGGTTGGCTCTATAAAAAGTTGGTCACTATGTTAAACTCACAAGAGGAGCTTTTGAAAATACCCAATTGCACAAGAGCCCACCCCTAGAGATTCTGATGCAATTGGTGTGGAAGGGGAGGGTCTTTATATTAGCATTTTTAAAGCCCCCAGGTGATTCTTATTAGAGATTCCCGCCCGCCCGAGTGGGCGGGGCCTGGAAGTCACGTGGCTGAGCCGGCGCCTTCTGCGGCCGTTGATTTGCCCGGGCCAGTGCTGTGGGTGCGTGAGACGCTAGGCCGCCGCTCTCTTAACCCGACCAGAGAGTTGCGAAGCCTCCGCGGTTCCTAGAAGGTACGCGGGCGGGGACGCTCTGCTCGGACCGCACCAATGGGGCGGGTGAGAGGCGCCGGGACCTTCCGCGTTCGCGCCTTCATGTTGGGGTTAGCGGAGGGACGGCGAGTAGTTGCCGGCTGTGGCTTGGAAACTCGAGAGGGGAGCCCAGTCCCCATGGCCGCTGCAGGTGGACACTGAGGACTTCCTGGAGGAGGCGGCGCGGCGGAGGGTCGGACGCGCCGAGCAGGTTTGGGGAGGAAGAAGCTAGTGTGATGGGAGGGGTGGGTGCCGCGGGGAAGCCACGGTGGCCGCGCCACGGCAGGTGTCAGGGCTCGAGAGACCCCCGGGCCTTCAGGGAAAGTTTCATTGACTGAGAGCCTTCCTGAAGACGCCAGCTTTGGATGTTTTCCGCGGTGTCAGGTCTTGAGCGTTAAGGAAGAACAGAGTCCGATGAATGAATGGTTGGTTAATCCTGTTGTTTGGTTTGGTTTTATGAGGGAAAACGAGATGTGATTAAAAGTTTAAAGGATTCCCATTATCGTTGTTAAAAAACAAAATTCAATTGAGTAAATCTTAAAGATCATCTTGGCTTTATTCAGCGATTCACGAGTGGGGCAACATCCCATCTAGCAGATAGAAGGGAGCTCCGAGGAGCGGTGCAAAAGCAAAGACTTGTAGACAGAAGGGAGCGGGACAAGGAAGTTACACTAGCGAAAAGCGGATTGGTTGTACCTGCCTTTAGGGGCTGGCAGATGGCCTCACTAGTGCTGACCAGGTAGTTCCAGATTGGCTGGTTTAAGATTTCACTCCTGGGAGCGGCCGAAAGTGCCATTAGGTTAAGTCTCCAGGCTTGGTGACTGGGGCTTAGCATAAGTGACTTCAATTGGGGTCTGTTGTCTTGTTTTTAACATTGTGAAATGGCATTTTAGATTCTGACTTGCAAACACAAAGAGTTCACCATAGGTAATATAGTTTACATAACGAAAGGGATGAGGCCCCTGTCCCAGCCTTGGAGCCATTGATCAGGACGTTTTTGGAGTGCCTCCTTGCTAAAGAGGGTCTTCCAAACAGTGTTTTTAGGGAACGTGAACGGTGTGTGAGGAACTTGCTTAAAAATGCACTTGCATAAAGCAGAGTTCACCGGTGGCCAGAAAAGCACAAGAAAAAAGTGAAAATCCCCTGTATCCCATCACTTCTGTACTCCCTGAGAGTAACAATATTGAGTTTATCATGTTAAAGACAAACCAAAATAGAGGCCCCAGTTTGGGAATACCCCTAGGCCAACCATCCATAACTGGGGAACGGAAACCTAAACTGTCCTAATTTCCCCAAAATGCTGCCTCTGCCCTTAAAGGAAACTTAAGCTTTCTTCATGTCAGGGTGACCTTGCAGCTTCCTAGCCAATCAGCTACAGCTGAACCAACAAGTAAGCTTGTACAGTGCTACTCCTCTAAAAGGAATGTAAGCTTCTAGTAACCAGTCACAATAAAAACGATGTACTTCCTCATTCACGTGTAGGGGAGGAAAAATAATTTCCTCTCTACCCTTCTGAGTTCTTAGCTGAGACCCCTGCAATAAAAGATTAAGAGAAAAACAAGTTTGTTAACGTGTATACCTGATGTATACATGGGAGATACCCAGGGAAAAATGAGTAACTCCTTGAGGTGGCTTAGAATTCAGACCTAAATACCATCTTAATAGGGAAAGGGGACTGGGGATCTTAGGGGAGAGTAAACGATTCTTAGGAAAGATGAGTGGGCCCTTAGAAGAATAGAAGATGGGAGGTCTGATGGTTTGTGACAGTTTGTCTGGGTGTGGTGTTAACTTCTCATCTCCTCTGCTGTGACAAGAGTCAATCTTCCCTGGTTGATGAAACTCCCTGGGAAGGGATTTATGACAATTGAGTTCCTTTTGGAGGATCTGTTTTTAGGCAAATAAGGGGAGTTCAGAGTGTCAATAAAAACATCTTCAATACAAGAATTTAGTTAGGAAAGCTTTATTGCTCATATAATTTGCAAACTGGGGAGACGCAGCCTCCAGGACAAATTGAAAGTACGCTCCAGGGAGGGCATGCGAGGGCAGAGCTTATAAAGGCAAAACCATGGACCACAGGGATTGTTTTGAAAGCCCACTGGTTTGTTGGTTCCCCCATAGACAGTAGTGTTCTAAAATCAGCTGTGTCAGGCTTCTGGCCATCTGTCAGGAAGGAGCGCTCAGTTTAGGGTACATGTGGTTTTTCTGAGAACAGAGTATGTGGCTGCACCTTGGTTGTGGCGTGGCCGCTTGACCCTGTTTTCTTTTAGGTCCCGGTCAGCCACACAAAGTCTGTTTTGTCTTTCTCTTTTAGGGGTCCTCTATAATTCCATAAGAGAAAGCCTCTCCCTATATTTGTGGTTTTTCAATTGCCTCCAGCTCAAAAAAATATTCCCAAGTGGCATATTTTGGGGTGGCATGCCCTGAACTCCTACAGTCATATTTTGGGGTGGTGTGCCCTGAACTCCTATAGTCATATTTTGGGGTGGCATGCCCTGAACTCCTACAGTCATATTTTGGGGTGGTGTGCCCTGAACTCCTACAGTCATATTTTGGGGTGGCGTGCCCTGAACTCCTACAGTCATCTTTTGGGGTGGCGTGCCCTGAACTC